GGAATGGGATCCCAATGAGAAATGTAATTGTGTTGTATACCTACAATGTACCAATAAAAGAATTTAATACAAAAAAAAAACCCAATATCAGTCAATGAAATTGAATATGTAATTCAAAAATTATCAACAAAGAAAAGCCCTGGCTCTGATGAATTCACTACCAAATTCTGTAAGAAATTAAGAAAAGACCTACTCTCGCTACTCCTCAAACTCTAATGAAACTGAAAAAGAAGCAATACTCCTATATTCATTGCTGGAAGCAAGCATTACCCCGATTCCAAAACCAGAGAAGGATCTAACCATAAAGGAGAATTACAGGCCAATCTCCCTAATGAACACAGATGCAATAATCCTCAGAAGATACTGGCAGGCCAGGGATTTAGCTCAGTAGTTCTGCTGCCTGCCTCGTAAGCACAAGGACTAGAATTCGATCCCCAGTACCAAAAAAAAAAAAAAAAAAAGATACTGGCAAACAGAATGCAGCAAATCATCAAGAAGATTATACACCCTGACCAAGCAGAATTCATCCCAGGGATGCATGGATGGTTCAACATAAGCAATTCAATAAATGTAATACCCTATATTAACAAAGCCAAGGACAAAAACCATATGATCATCTTAATAGATGCAGAAAAAGCATTTGACAAAGTCTAACACCCATTCATGATAAAAAAAAATTCTACAGAAAATTGGAATAGATGGTCTTTATCTCAATCTGATAAAAGCCAAGTATGACAAACCAACAGCCAACATTGTACTAAATGGACAAAAACTGAAACCTTTCACACTAAAATCAGGAACAAGACAAGGATGTCCACTGTCCCCTCTCTTACTCAATATAGTTCTGGAAACATTAGCCAGAGCAATTAGACAAGAGAAAGAAATAAAAGGAATACGGATAGGAAAGGAAGAAGTTAAATTATCATTATTTGTGGATAATGTGATATTCTACGTAGAAGACCCCAAAAACTCCACCAAAAGACTTCTAGACTTAATAACCAAATTCAGTAGCATAGCTGGATACAAAGTCAACACTCAAAAATCAATAGCTTTCCTGTACACAAATGATAAACAGAGAGAAAGTGAGAGAGAAATTAGGGAAACAACACCTTTCACAATAGCATAAAATAAAAAAAAAAAAGAAAAGAAAAGAAATACCTAGGAATCAATCTAATGAAGGAAGTAAAAGACTTCTAAATTGAAAACTACAGTTCTCTGAAAAAAGAGATTGAAGAGGATATCAAAATATGGGAAGATATCCCTTGTTCTTGGGCAGGCAGAACCAATATAGTGAAAATGGTCATACTTCCAAAACTGCTATACAGATTTAATGCAATCTTGATCAAAATTCCAACAGCATATCTCACAGAATTAGAGAAAAACAATCCTAAAATAACTTTGGAATCAGAAGAGACCTAGAATAGACTTCTGCCTCAGCCTTCTGAGTAGTTGGGACTACAGGGATATACCACTGTGTCTGGCTACAAGAAGTGACGTGGAAAACCAGTGTCGTTAGGATAAATGCAAGCTGTTTAACTGATACAGTTTATAACAAGATGTCCCCCAAAGCCTTACTACCCATGGGCAGGGCTTAGGGAGGTGATTGGATCATGCGGGTGTGATACTCATGGGTAGATTAGTCCACTGAGGAGTTTAGAGCTGAACACCCGGTTAGGAGGCGGGGCTGGTGGGTCAGAAGTGGCGGGGGGGGGGGGGGGGGGGGGGGGGGGGGGGGGGGGGGGGGGGGGGGTCGCTGGGGGCGTGGCCGGGGGTGCGTCTCCCTCCCAACTGGCTGCCCTGAGGTGAGCCTGTTGCTTCCACCTGACTCTTCCACCGTACAGTTTCTGTGTTTGACCCTGGAGAATGTGGACTGAAACTTCTAAAATATGACCAAAATAAACCTCTCCAAGTTGCTGGAGGAGAGTGACTAAGACAGCAAAAAGAAAAAGCAGTGCTCACATTATCTAAGAAGCCAAGGTCAGCTGAAGGAGACTTACCTGCCCCCAGCATGGTGTCTAGGGTCCAATCCTTCTCTCCATGAAAGGTATCCCCTGAGTTTATTTATTTTTTCAGTACCAGGGATCGAACTCAGGACCTTCTGCTTTCCAGGCTGGCGAGTGCCGCTGAGGTACATTTCCAGCCCTCCCCTGTGTTTAATCTCTGAGTCTATTCTGTAGTCTTCTGTTTTTTTAATTCTGATCTTTCAGCTTTCTGCTTTTTCTTTTTTTTTTTCCGAAACAGTGACTAAGCACGCAAATTAGAAAGGAAATGGTAGAAATTATCTATTTGAACCTCATTTTCTAAATAAAGGCACTGTTTCCCTGGATCTTGACTTTTGCTTTAGACTCCAGCAGTACTGAGTTCAGTTTGTGTCTTGTACAGCCTGACGTTTGCCCCTTGATCTTACCTGATTCTTCCTGTTTTGGGTTTGTGTATCCCCCAAACTCAGAAATTGTGTCCTTGCTGATGCAGTTAGTTAAGATGAGGTCTTCTTGGTGTAGGTTGGGCCCTATCTTGTAAGGAGGGGACATTTGGACACCGACATGCACAGGGAGGACACCACATGGAGGTAAAGGTGGAGATCAAGGTGCTTCTTCTGCAAGCCAAGGAGCACACGAGAAGCTAAGGGAATGCATAAAGCTGATTCTGCTTGGTCCTCAGAAGGAATCAACTTTGATTTTGGATTTCTGTGAGACGAGGCTTTCTGTCGTTTAACCTTCCAATTGATGGTCTTTGGTATGGCAACCTTAGCAATCTCATACAATACCTCTGTCTGGGTAAAGCTCTGATCTTTGATGCCTCTACATTTGTGTTCTTGATCTGATCTTAATCTGCCTCCCAGGTTAGAGAATGTCATCACCAGTTGCCTCTGACTGTACTGTCTTCAGACTGTCTTCGGAGTCTACCTCACACCAAGTCTTCAGTCTTGCTTTGGAATGTCCATTCCTTTATCTTCTCAATTATAATCACCCTACGTTGTCACCCCTATGCCAGTGGACTTTCCTTTACCTGTTTTCCGTGTCTGTACCAGCTGCTCTCTGTCCACAGACTCCAATCAGAGAATACTTGAAATCTTCCCTTTTTACACTGTGAAGCTTTACCATTCCTGTCTGCTTTGCATCTACCAAAAGCAAATGGTGATCATGTACTCCTCTGCTCTAGCAAGCTCTGAATGAAAGCTCTGTCTGTTCTCACTTGGATGGTCTCTGTTTATTTCCACAGAATGAATGATTTGTACTTTCCCCAGTGGGTTCATAGCTTGGTGGGGGCAGCCTCGAGCTGTGGGTGGCATTTGGGCCACAGGTGGGGACAGCACATTTTGATGATGTCCTCAGAGGTCCTGGCTCCACCTGTGACTGAGATTTTAAACTCTCGTTTTTGAGCCCCCTCCCAGGGCACACCCTTCCTCCTACCCCATAGGATAAGGTTGGGGAGGCCTGGAAGCCATGATGCTTTGGCCACAGATGACAAAATGGTCCCTGGCCTGGAGGAGCTCTGTGGGCACTGGGTGATGCTCTTGCTGGTGCAGACACCCACACAGTTTGCAGTGTTCTCCCAAAGCTTTGTTGTTCCCATTTGTTAGATGCCATTCTGCAAAGCAGGGCACATCTGAGCACCCAGACCAGACAGGTTTCCAGTCATACCCACAGAACTGCCTTCCTTTGTGTTCAGCCCTGGTTTGCAACCTTGCCACCTGCCTCTTGATAAATTTGCCTAGGACTCAGCTTATCCCAGAAATACTTTCTGGTTTTCAGATCTTGGGAGTTTTATTTCCTTCCCTACAAAAGGGCTCTGGGGTTCTGGCCATTCTGGTCTATCCCTTTCCAGGGCTTAGGGTACTGAGGTAGGATAGAAGAAATAAAGATAAGTAGAAAGGAGATAAGGAAATTATAATTTTTAAATTGTACTTTTCAGCTGGGCATGGTGGTGCACACCTATAATCCCAGAACTGTGAAAGCTGAGGCCAGAGGATCACAAGTTTGAGCCTAGCCTGGGCAACTTAGCAACTTTTCAAGAATCTGTCTCAAAAACATAAAAAAGAACTTGGAATGTAGTGAGAAAGCCCTGGGTTCAATCCCCAGTACTAGCACCACCAAAATACTAAATAAATAAAGTAAAATAAAATATAAAATGAAATGTTCTTTTAAGAAAACTGCAGCTTTAAGACACAAAGTTACCCAAGGTTACAATGTCCTTTTTCACCCATAGGCCTGTTTTCCTAGGGTCCTCACTCGTAAATTCCGGAGTTTTAAAGATACATTAAGTCTGCAAATTGGGCCTGTGTTTTTCTTCTGAGCCTATAAATCGACAAATTCCATACACTTCTACTCTGAAGGGAACAGCTCTATTCACTCGGTACCATATCTTTAAACTTCAAAAACATGTGAACAGTTTGCATTTTAACCTAGTCCACTAATGGGTAACGTGATGGACACTAGGTAAACAATAAATAACTTGAATACATTTCCTGGATCATCCATTTTGAAGACACCTCAAGACCTCATAAATACCCCAAACCTAGACCACAGTGTGCCTCCCCCCAAGAATAGGCAGCTTTCTGGGTGTATACTTCTTTGATTTCGTTTAATAAATCTACCAATGCCTCACACGGACGCATGCTGAAATGCTTTTCTGTGATGGGAGTCAATGACCTACTCCACAGGTGGGAGTGGGGACAAGCTGAGGTCCCCACTCCTCTGGGAGGACCTCCTCAGATTCCATCAGGTGACAGTACCAGGGGATCTCTAGGAACATTTGTTTTTTGGTACCAGGGGTCCAACTCGGGACCTTGTGCTTGTGAGGCAGGCAGTGGTGGCACCACTGGGCTAAATCCCCAGCCCCAGGGCATCTCTAGGAGATGCTCAGTTTTTATCAAGGGTTGTGAAAACTGCAATGCTGTATCAAGTTCTGTGTACATAGGGTGCTTGGTCAGGTGTGGCCATAGGAGGGAACACAGGACAGGCTTGAAGAAGAAAATTTAGTATACTTCTAGATCCTAGACAGGAGGACACCACGTGCCATGAAGGTCCCACAGGACAACATGAGGGTGGTCAGGAGTCAGCAGTCTAGAATGGGGGGAGCACTTGGGCCTTCACCTTTATTGAAGTTTCTGAGGGAGAGGCGAGACAGGGCAGGACAGGCGGGGTAACCAGTTTAGGATTGGCCACTGGGATAATTTCCAGGCAGAAGGTAGGTCATAGTCTGCTGTAGTGGGCCCTGGGAGGATTAAGGTGGGGGAATGGTGCTTTGGGCAACGTATAGGGGCTGTAGTGGTCTGGTGGCAGACTGGTTAGTTTGCATATGAAAAGCATGCACTGGTCGGCCCTTTGTCATTGTAAGTCTCTAAGAACTGGAAGGCCTAGGACAGGCCCAGGAGGGGCATTCTCTCTCCATCTAGATTTTTTGTGCTTTTTTTTTTGGTACCTGGGATCAAACTCAGGACATTGCGCTTGTGAGGCAGGCATTGGAACCACTGAGCTAGATCCCTGGTGCCCCCAGCTAGATTTTTTAAGATGTCATAAATATCATAATATGTAGGAAAAAAAAAACACAATTCATTAATAAATCCTTTCCTTCTCCAGGACAAAAGTATGCCTTAATATTTGCACACGAGGGCCAGGGATTTAGCTCAGTGGTTTCACCACCTGCTGCGCAAGCACAAGGACCCGAGTTCGATCCCTGGTACCAAAATAAAAAAAATATTTGCACACTAAAATAATTCATTTATGAGATTTTGCAGAATACAGAAAATCTGCTCGGGTTTTATCTCTGCTTTATTAGGAGAAGCAGTGTCTGTGGTTTAAAAAAAGTAAAAGGAAGGAAAAACCTCAGCTCTCCCAGGACCCTGCATTGTGAACAGTTTCTGCTATCTGCGTGGTCTCCTTTGTCTTCCGCTGCAGCTTCCATACTGCTGCATATGTGGCCTCTGCATAACTCCCCTTTCCCAGTTTTGGACTCCTGCTTTTCCTTTAGGGGTCAATCCAAGACCACACTACTGACAAATTAATTATATAATCATTTGTTCTCTTTTTCTCAAATCTCTGAGGCAGGAACCGTACTCTTTGTCTATTCTTCAGCATGTAGCATTCAATAACAAATAGTGAGCAGAAGCGTCACCAAATATCTTTTGTAGCAAATGGTGCTTTTAATATTTGAATCTTTGGGCCGGGAATTTAGCTCAGTGGTTCTGCCGCCTGCCTCACAAGCACAAGGTCCCAAGTTCGATCCTCGGTATCAAAAAAAAAAAAAAATTTGAATCTTCATGTAAGTTAATACAACATTAGATCTTTTTGAAGGCTACACAGATTATCATTGTTTATATCATTAATATTTTAATTTAAAAATACGTCCATCATGACATTTTGAAAACTAGATTTTATTTTTAACAATCAGAAAAAAACATTATTTTAAACATTTCTAAAATTAGTATTCAGAAATTTTACATTGATTTAACTTTATATTTAAAAATATTTTGAATTACTTATCCCAAACTTAAAATATAAAATCATGCCACCCTTATGCAAAATTATAAATTTTCAGGGCCGGGGATTTTGCTCAGTGGTTCCACCACCTGCTTGCAAGCGCAAGGTCCTGAGTTTGATCCCCAGTACCAAAACCCAAAACCAAAACCAAAAAATTATAAATTTTCTTTTCTTTCTTTCTCCCTGTCTCTCTTTCTCTTTCTGTAGTGCTGGGGATTGAGCCTGGGCTTTAGGCATGCCAGGCAAGTGCTCTACCACTGAGCTATGTCCTCAACCCAAAATTGTACATTTTCTAGTTACTCTCCTCTTTATCTTTCCAAGAGGATATCTATGTATCACAAATACATTTTTAAAAAGTAATTTCAACTTGTCAAAAAGTCAAATGATTAAACTTTGGCATAGTGTTTCATTTCAGTTGCTATGAAGGTGAATAAGGGATAGTCTGAATGCAAAGAGCTTTTTTGGTGTCCTAGAAACATTCCCACCTTAAACATTTCTCTGCTGGGAAGAGCGTCAAGCTCAGTAGTGAGTGGTTCTGTGCCCTACACAGATGCTGGGGGGAAGCCTGTAGGATAGTACATTTCTGAGCTCCTAGACTGTTTGTTTGTTGAGGAAGTGAGGGAATCAGGGACCCCTTCCCTAACCAGCTCCCAACAGGTGTATATATATATGTATATATATGTATATATATACATATATATATATACACACACACATATATATATATATATGCACACTCATCAGAAACAGTTCAGGAGCATGTGTGTAGATTCCTGAACCAACGTGCAATATGTAGTTTTATATCAGGGATCTTTATTATTATAAGTGTAAAGTTTAACTCTTCTTTGCTGACTTTCCTTTAATAATATGAAAAACAACTCCTCTTATTCCAAGATCTGAAAGTCAAGACTGCTTTTCCATTTCTTCAGCTCCTAATAAGCACTGAGAAGCAATTTGCATCAATTCGCCACCTACTCCTTGGCATCCCCGATTCCTCCAGCAGTTATTGCGAAGGTGGCTTCATTTTCAGGCATCTCAGGACTAACAGAATACAAAGGAACAGAAGTTTATAAAAAGCTCCATTTCTATAAATACTGCATTCATGTCACAGGCATCATGCTCCCATCAGTCTGTGAGTCTCCAGAGATATCTTAGATTTGGTACAGCTAAATTCGAACTGCAGAGTTTACTTAAAAGTATTATTAACCCCCACAAACAGTTGTTTAACAAGTTCCCTGTATAAGGTTCTGAATGTGAAGGAACATTACCCCAAACTTGGAAACAGGCACAAGGGACAAGCAGATATTCTTTCAGTGAGGTGTCAGGCAGCAAGCAAAACCCTGGGGGGCTTATCTGATTCTGTAAGGCTGTGCACCTTTCTCCAACCACACTAATGTAGGGGTAACTGTAAAAGACTTTGAAATGAAAGAAAAGATTACTGAGAACTTGCAATGGAAAGACAGGTTGTCTAGCGCGACCTTCCAGTTCACCAGTTCTAGGAGGGCTCTGAGCCATCTGTGGTCTTTGGTTGATTTCCTAACTCTGTCAATTGTAGCTATTTAAGTGTAATGCAAATTAATCTTGTCCACAGAAATGTAAATTGTGTGAGATGGAACGCATTGGTTATTGTTCCATGGACATTGGCTCATTTTTAATCAATTTACAATTCATTTCAGCATTAATTATTTGACCATACATATCAAATGTATATACTTTTATTTTTTGATTTGGTTATAGAATCTTATTGGTTTCTTCATTAATGAATAAGTTAAAATCTTTGACAGTTTATATTTATACTCGAGTATTAGTTATATATACATTTTAATATTTATTCTACAACACTGTGGAGTGAATTTTTTTTCTTTTGGTACTGGGGATTGAACTCAGGACCTTGTGCTTGCCACTAAGCAGTGCCACTGAGCTAAATCCCCAGCACAAGTGAAGGTTAATTTGTAGAAAACTTATAGCAACACAGATGATTCTTGCCTAAGGGCAAGGCAAATGATTCCATACTACAGCGATAGAAGTGGATTTCATTGTGCAGAGAAGCAATTGATTTCCCTTCAACAGAAAGGAAAGTTACAATTTATTGCCTGGTAGGGTATTAACCAGTTTTGCACGTAGCAGATTTATTTCACCATGCCTTTGACTGACTATATAAATTTCTGTTCCTCAAATTATCCTTTGAATCAGTGGTTTCCTCATTAACTAAGAAGTAAATAAAATCTTTGGTACATTTTCATTTTATATTTATTTGCAAGCAAGGCAAGTTATTAACTTTTTGAAAATCATACTTAGCATATACTAGACCCTGTGGATTATATAAAAATGAGACAAGGTTCTTAAGTCTCAATAAGTCCATATGAGAGCTATGACAATGCAAATATGCCAAATTCTATGCTGTAATTCAAAGTAAGCTATGTTTTATGAAGTCAGTCTAAGTATTACAGAACGTTGAAGAAGGGAAACATTATGCTTGGCTAGGTCAATTAGGAAAAGCTTCAGAGATAATAACTGAAGACGCCTTTGAAGAGGCAGAAATGGGACTATTCCAGGTAGAAGTAATAACATGAACAAAATACAAGAATAGAAAAATCTATTTTGTGTACAAGAAGGGAGACAAAGAAGAAGTTATGTTTAGGTGTGTTGCATTGGAGGTACCTGTGGGATATTCATATAAAGGAATTCTACAAGTATTTGAAATGAATATTCAAAACCTGAATAAAGGTGAGACTAGAAATTTAAATGTGAAGGCCACTGTCCATGAGAGAAAGATCCAACTGCTACTTTGTGCTCCTATTAAATCCAGGTTATGATGACTGGTAGCTGCCATTTAAAAAAAATTCTAATTTTTAGGAAGCAGATTCCCTTATATTATTTCATTTGAACTTTATGACAACCATACCAGGTATGTATTATTGCCCGTATTTTACAGATGAGAAGATTGGAATTCAGGGAGAATCAATTTGCCTATGACTACACCACTGGTGAGTGAAGATGCCAGGTGCTATAGTTCGATGTAGTTGTCCTTAAGGGTTCATGTGTCAGAAGTTTGGTCACTAGTGTTGGAAACAAGAGAGGTGCTGGAACCTTTAGGAGGAGGGGCCTCCTGGGAGGCTTTCAGGCCACTTGGGGTGTGGCTGCAGAAGGGACCAGCACAGTTGGGAATTCTAGGTTAGTTCCTGAGGGAGTGAGCTGTCATGGAAGCCTGAGACTAACCCGACCCCTGAGTTGCTCTCTGGCTTCTGGTCTGGTGAAGTGATTTTTCCTTCACGCACACCCCCACCCGGGGGAGGGCATTAGTCACTGTGAGGCTTTTAGCATGCTTGGCCCAGTTGATGCTGGTGCCAGGGCCTTGACTTTCAAAACTGTGAGCTGAATAAACCTCTTTTCTTTTCTTTTTTTTTTTTTGGTACCTGGGATCAAACTCGGGTCCTGGCACTTGCTCAGCAGGCAGCAAAACCACTGAGCTAAATCCCTGGCCCTAAACCTCTTTTCTTTATAAATACCCAGCTTTAGGTATTTCATATAGTAATGAATTGACCACATCTAGAGACCAAGGTATCTGATTCCACAGTTCGTGTTATTAATCATATTGTTTCTCAAGGTTTTTGTTTGTTTTGCAGCGCTGGGGATTGAACCCAGGAAGCACTGAGCCATATCCCCAGTCCTTTTCATTTATTTATTTGTTTGTTTATTATTTTTAGACAAAATTTTGTTAAATTGTCCAGGCTGACCTTGAACTTTATCCTCCTGCCTCAGCCATTTGAAAAGCTGTGATTATAGGCATGCACCACCATGCCAGGCTGGCTATTGTTTTTTTATTTTGTTTGGTTGGTTGTTTTGTTTGTAGGGTGGAGATTAGGTGGTGTGCCTTTGAGTGTACAGTGGGTAAGGTTATTTCCCTTAAAAACAGCATAGAGGTCTGTCCGGAGGATAGCAAATGGCCTGTACATAGTTAGGTCTTGCTGGGCTAAAACTAGAGTAAGAAGGTTTAAGTGGAAATACAAAATAATTTTTGGCCTTGTTGGAAACTACTCATTCAGGTACTTCAGATGGCAGAAAGTAGAATGAAAGCTCTCTCTAGAGGTAGACAGGAGCTAAAAAGGAGAAGTTAGGAAAGTAGTTGTAAAGTTGAATGAAGGTTAGTTTTCTGTTTTTCCTTAACTCAGACTCAGAAGCAATTACTTCAGAAACTTAACTATTTTTATAGCTCTTCATTTGCTGATAGTTACTTAAAATTTATTCTTCCTTTGAATTCTTTGTAGTGTCTGTTGAGTTTAGATATGCTAAGTGGATTAAAATAAGTGGGGTTTTAATTTGTTCACTTAAAAGTTTAAAAGAAAAAAATGTACACTTGAGCAGCAATGATATAAAGAAAAGGGTTGGGTTAATTCTATTTTTTAATGTAGTGGCAGAGACTGGTGAACCCAGGGCCTCACGCATGGTAGGCAAATACTCTACCACTGAGCTACATCCCAGTCTGGACTGGGTTAATTTGTTTTGTTTTGTTTTGAGACAGGGATTTGCTATATAGTTCAGGCTGGCCTTGAACTCACTGTGTAGCCCAGGCTGGCCTCATGGCAAACCTTTTGCCTCAGCCTCCTGAGTGCTGGGATTACAGAAATGTACTACTATACTGGCTTGGACTGGTTTTTTTTTTTTATTATTATTCATTAAGTTTATTGGTACATTTTAGGTATACAATATGATAATATTCATCATTGGGAATTTGTACCTTTACATGATATATCTTGGTTCTTATTTTTTTTCCCCCATTTCCCTGCACTCCCTTCAACCCCTCCCCCCTCCCTATTTATAAAGATTTTGTTTCCATTTTTTCCTTATCTCAAATTTATTTGGATTAATTCTTATAGTTACTCCTACATACCTGAAAATTCTTCTGAGAACTCTTTTCTGCTCAATTCTTGGGGATTTTTTTTTGCTTTCTGTTAGCAACAAATCTCTTTCATTTATATTTATTTAAAGATGTCACTGCAGCCACGAGAGTAACTCTAGTAGACTAGTAATGACTACTCTAAGTAGAGCATTCTCGGTAAACTAGGAAATAGCGTAATGATTTAAAATGCATAGGTTTTTAGATTCAGATTCTAATTCTAGTTCCATCTTCCATTTGTTGTATGAAGTAGTATACGTAGCATAATGCATTCATTTATTCATTATGAAAATATTCATCAAATACATTCTATAGACCTATTGTAGGCACTTAAGATCTGTATGTGAAAAAATAAAAAATAGACAAAGATCCCTGCCCTTGAGGAACTTATATTTGGGGAGAGGAAATACAGACAATAAATAATGTATATAATAAATATATCATGTGTTATGTTAGAAAATCAGTGCTATGTCGAGACAGGCATTGTTGAGAAGGTAACATTTGATCAGACTTGAAGCAGGAGCTAACCAGGTAATTATTGCAGGCAGAAGGAACGACACGTGCAAATGCTCAAGCAGGAGCATCCCGGCCTGTTTACCCAACACCAAGGTGCCTGAAGCCTATGTGTGAGGAGGGTCTACAACATGACACACGTGATAGGACCTTGCATGGAGTCCTGTGTAAACTAGAGACTTGCACCTTTCATTCTGAGTTAAGATGGGAAGCCACTGGCAGAGGGTAAGCATAGAACAGATGTGATCTTACTTTTACAAAGGTTTGCTTTGGCTTCTGTGTTTAAAATGGACATAGACACTGTTTACCTAACTGCTCGGGGCCTTGGTTGCCTCCTCTATAAAGTGGAGCTAATAACCTTTACTTCTTAGAGTTGTAATAGGTAATGAAATGCAACATATAAAGCACTTGGAGAAAGGCCTAGTACAGAGCAGTGACTCAATGTTAGCTATAGTTATTAGCATTACCACATTTTCCACTAAAAAGGGTTTTTCTCAAGCTGAGCATGGTGGTGTACAAATGTAATCCCAGCTATTCAAGAGACCAAAGCAAGAAGATCAAAAGTCCAAGGCCAGCCTAGGCAATTTAGCAAGACCTGTCTCAAAATAAAAAAATAAATAGAGCTGGGGGTATGGCTCAGTGGTAGAGTCCTTGCCTAGCTTGTGTGAGGCCCTGGGTTCCATCTCCAGCACCACAAAAAAATAAATAAAATCCCTTTTTTCTCAAGTCAAGGAGAAGTCTTTGTAAGAAATCATTAGGGAGCAGCAGGAAATGAGTACATTGTTCATGTCAAACTAAGTTTTGATATTTTAAGCTCTGGTCCAGTTTTGCTATATTGAGTCAAGTTTATGGAAATTCAACATAACTAAACTCCATGATAATTTACTGTTAAAAAGGGTTGAAAAAGGTTCCCTGAGAAAGTGATGTTTAAACTGAAACTTGGGCATGGTGGCATAGGTGGGTAATCCTAGTACTCGGAAGGATAAGGCAGGAGGATCATCAATTTGAGGCCAGTCTGGGCTACATACAAGTTCAAGGCTGGCCTGACAATGTAGTACAGCCCTGTCTTAAAAACCAAAACTAACCAACCAAACAAAAACCCCTGAAATCTGAAAAGCACATGGCATTAACCTGGTAAAGAGAAAAGAGAATATATTCTCATACTCTGCACTTCCTCAGAACCTGCCACCCTTTAACTAGAATTGATGTGATGTCATTATCTAGCTTCATTGTGGGCTTTCAGAGGTCAGGGAGGACGTATGTGTGTCAACAGAACCCCTGAATCCCCTAGTACTCAGTAGGGCCTTCCCAATTACTGAATGATTTTTTTTTTAGTACCGGGGATCAAACTCAGGACCTTGTGCTTATGAGGCAGGTGCCAGAAACACTGAGCTAAATGCCCAGCCCTGAATGATTTTTGAGAAGGAAATTCAAACATGTAGCATCTGCCAGTGGAAGAATTATAGCCTTTCAAAAGCAGTGATTCTGTTTAAAACCATATGCATGAGTATGTGGTGAAGAATAAGAAAATATTTACCTGTCATAAATCTTGGCAATTCTCAGTTCTCCTCTTCCCTTTCGCAAGCTTATTCTTGTTGTTGAAGCATGAGCCAGAATGTGTCCCCCAATGGGTTTTTTGGGGTCTGCCTGAAAGCTGAATTAATAAAACACCTTTTCAGGGTCCATGATACAGACTATATATGGCAAGATTAGTAATGACAAGGCAAAATTTCGGTAGAGGATGGCAGGGCTTGGAGTAGGTGTGTATTCTGAGCAAGTAGAGGCTTTTTCATGAGCTCTGGAGTGGGGCCAGGGCTTGGAGCTACTGTATATCCCACTGCCACTTAGTTTAGACTTCTAAGATTCTTTTTTTTTTGGTACCGGGGATCAAACTCGGGACCTTGCGCTTGCAAGGCAGGCGGCGGAACCACTGAGCTAAATCCTAGGCCCTTCTAAGATTCTTATGATAAATAGTGAATGTTTTATTTGACTTTAAAAACAGAAATTATTATTGAAAACCACAAAGAAAACATCATGTGCTGTCTCAGGATAATGCTTGGAGTTAAAAAATGTTTTCTTTTTTTTGGTACCCGGGATTGAACTCAGGACCTTGTGCTTGCAAGGCAGGTGGCAGAAGCACTGAGCTAAATCTCCGGCCCAAAAATGTTCTTCTTTACAAAATACAGAAAATTCATTCATTCACCAGAAATATTTTTAATGGTCTATTATGCGTTAGGTACTATTTTAGTCTAATGAATAAGAATCACCCAGCCATTCTTCTTGATGCTATGTAAGTGAAAAGCCGATGGAAGCCAGGCATGATGGGCACACTTGTAATCCCAGATCTTTGTAAATTGAAGCAGCAGGATTGCCCCAAGTTTGAGCCCATCTTGGGCTACATAGTGAGCTCAAGGCCAGCCTGAACCACATAGCAAGACAAACAAGAAGGGTGGGTCACTTTATTGGGCAATTGAAGGTATATGAAGCAATAAAGCCACCTAAGTTGGATAAAATAGCTAGAGAGGTAAGTTGTCTCAATAATGTCCACAGATCAATGTCACTCTTTAACAGAGTGGCTCTGAACTTTCAAGGTCACTCTATTGTGGGTGTTAAAAGGACATTACGTCCTGTAGCAATAGGCTGCTTGAAGCCCTGATGGTCTTTGCAATGGGGCTGTGAACTCTGAGCCTGCAAACAATGATTTATGCTTTTCAAATGTACTTTTCATGTTCTGCCTTTGGTACCATTACTCACTCACCCCCTTATAGTCTTATAGTCCTCCTCAATCCATCTCCTATTCCCCATCACTAAGCTCCTTAAGAGTGGATGACACTGAATTTAGTACTGTAGCAACCAGTCATACAGTTAGTGTTCAAACATGTTTCCTGAGATTAAAACATGGAATCTACAAAAATTTTAAGGAGAATATTGGATTGCAGAAAGATGAGTGCCTTCACAGAAATTAAGTACAAATAAAATTGAGACCAGTTAGAAATTTCTTCGAGAAGAGATAAGAAAGGACATTCAGGGTTCATTAAAGGGACAGAGAGAAGTTCTAGCAGCTGTGTTACTGCCTGTCACAGGGTGTCTCTCAATACTTCCCAGTGATTCTCCTGAATGTCATGGTTTGCTGTTACCAATGTGATATCCCATGCTTGTCACTGATTGCTTTGGGTGAAGAGCCTGAAGGTCAAGAATGTTATCTTCAAGGCTGGGGATTTAGCTCAGTGGCATTGTGCCTGCCTCGAAAGTGCAAGGTCCTGAGTTCGATCCCCAGTACAAAAAAAAGAAGAATGTTATATTTAAAAGGAGATGAACTATATGGACAAATAAATGATAGAATTTGCAAAAAGGCTAAGAAAACATGTGGGAAAGACATTATAGGATCAAAAAAGTTATCAACAGTGACTCATAAACTAAGAGGTTATATTTAATCAGAATAGTGACATAGCACATAGCCTTAGGCTGAGAGAATTTCAAGCTAATTCATATTTTGTTTATTCCATCAAAGTGCTCAGGAATCTGTGTAGAATTTTAATATGGCTCTTAATGTTCCTTGCAGGGCCTTAACATTTTGATAATTTAATAAAAGATAGACTCTCCTCCAGCAAAATGCACATATGCATACATATAAACCTATGTACATAAATAATACTAATAGTAGTAACTAAGATTTACTGAGTCCTCACTACGTGGCAGAAATTATTTTAAGTCATTTAATTATTTCCCTTTGTTTAGATTCCATACTTAGTTATAGTTTAAAATTTGGATCCTGGTAGAGGTCTACTTACAGGGAGAGACTGTGCTTATGGGTAATATGAATCCAAATGTGGTTACATTTTTTTCCTTATCAATAGACTGGCCCTCTGGTCTTTTATGCATCCTTGTGAACTTGATTACTGTAATTCTGTCTCTAAGACATGGACTGGTTTTCAGTAGGCTGGCCAAATCAAAACTCTGCCTTTGAGGCGAGACCCTCAGTTGTGGTCATTTCATTAGAGTAATGGAAATATGCCTGCACTTTCCAGGGGACAGCATGCCAGCCAGATGTACTGTGGTGCATGAGCTTTAGACCTAGACTTGAGTTCAATTTCTGACTGGTGGGTTGTTTTAACATTCTTCATTTTATTTTTTTTATTTTTAAATTTTTTAAATTTTTTATTTTTTGGTACTGGGGATCGAACTCGGGTCCTTGCGCTTATGTAGCAGGCGGTGCGAAGCCACTGAGCTAAATCCCAGGCCCCAACATTCTTCATTTTAAATGGGGAATTACAACTCTACCTGATAGGATGGTTGTGAGAATAAGATGAAATAATTCAAGTAAAGCATTAGCCCAGTGACTACAATTATTATTTATCTGCTTTCTTAATCCTGACTCAAACACTTATTATCTATTGACTGTGGGTTACTTACTTTTTTTTTTTTTTTTAGGTACCCAGGATTGACCTCAGGACTTTGCATCTGTGAGGCAGACAGTGGAACCACTGAGCTAAATCCCTGGTCCTGGGCTACTTACTTTTATGAACTCCAGTTGTTTGTTTGGTTTTTTTTGGTACCGGGGATCGAACTCGGGTCCTTTCGCTTGCTCAGCAAGCGGTGAAACCACTGAGCTAAATCCCCGTCCCCCTCCAGTTGTTTTTTGTTGTTGTTGTTTTGGAGTAAAATGGGAATAAAGAGACCTCACCTTTTAGGGATGTTGTGAGGAATCAAGATATACTTAATACAACTCATTGGGAGCCTACTATGTGTCAGGATCCATATCTGGTCACTTATATACATTAGCTTTACTTTCATCAAAATCTTGGCACGTAAGAGCTCTTCAATAGATGGTAACTATCATTATTAAACTAAGTGCTTTAGTTTAAACAGCCACTCTTTCAATGACATGTAGACCAAAAAACTTTTATTCAAGTTTTCTTTTCTTGGTCTTCAAACTTTCCGACTATTCTCAAAGACTTCGCTAAGTCTTGAGGTGAAATACAAGAAGGTATAATAGCACTCCACATTCTTTTAGAGGGCTTTAATTTACTTCTATTTCTGACCGAGTTAAAACAGCATCAGAAAGCCACCCACATCCCTCTGTTAGCCTATTCTCTTATTTTCCCTTTTTAAATGTTTTCTTCTCTCCATTCCTCCTTCCTCAGGAGACTGGGGAGTACAGTGAGGAGGAGGAGGAGATGGGGGTGGGGTAGGTATTAGGAGTAAAGAGGTACTAAAAGAGATTAATCATTTTTCCTACTCTGGTTAAACAGAGTGGCATATTATATCATCAAAGGTAGGGACCAGCACAGCCCGGGTTCCTAATTTCAAATTAGAATGCTGGGGTTATAAGGTATAAGGTTATAGGATGAGGTGAGATGGGAGGATAGCACAAGGAGAATAAAAGAGCATCAACTTTGAAGTCAAAGCTACCTAGGTTCAAGTCCTGGCTTTCTTTGTTTTTGAATTGTATGATTGGGCAACCAGTAAGTACTCTGAGCCTTCATTCCCACCTTTATAAATCAGGAATACTTATAATACCTACCTCAACTTTCGGTCAGGGTCCTGAGGGGCACAGGCTAGGCACAGGCTAGGCCAAGCCAGAGGGACAGCAGGCATTCCTGGTGCCTTTGACTACAGATGGGATTTTTGAGAAGGGGTCCAATGAGGAGAGAAAGACTGAATAAACTAACCCAAGAATGAGGAGGAGGCCTTAGGACTAGGGAAATGTGGGGAGAAAGGAGCACTGCTAAGAAAGAAGAATTTTTAGGTGAGAGAAGAGATGGTTTTTTTTAAAAAGAATATGTTTAAGAAGTTTTGTTGGGCCGGGGATTTAGCTCAGTGGTTCCACCACCTGCCTCACAAGCACAAGGACCCGAGTTCAATCCCTGGTACCAAAAAAAAAAGAAGAAGTTTTGTTAAGTGATACTTCCCTTCTGTCTGCTCCCAAAATATGAGAAAAAAAATCTATGTTTTTTTTTTCAGTGTTTTGAAGATGGAATTCTGGGGTTTTTGGAGCTGGGGTGGGAAGTGATGCATCTGTATACTGAGATTGGCTTCATAGAAAGTACAGAGAAGCCCAAGGAGGCTGAGTTACATCAGGGCCATTTGAGAATTGTATAAGATAATGCATGACAGCACCTGGAACATGGTAAGTAATCAATGGAGTTGTCTCTTAATTTGGGGGAGGCGAGACCAAAGTTTAAATAGTTAGATGCCTTGAACAGGGTCCCATATTGACCCCAGTTTAATATTTTTTCTCTACACATATGACATGTTCTTTTTTTGGTACCGGGGATCGAACTCGGGTCCTTGTGCTTGTGAGGCAGGTGGTGGAACCACTGAGCTAAATCCCCAGCCCCCATATGACATTTTAATTCATGCTAATGATGGTGAATCAGCAGGTGACATCCTACCATACATTTATAAGACTGCAAATATTCTAAGATGAATTTTGTTTTAGAAAAACATATGCAAGGAAGAAGGTGACAACATAATGTCTTATTTGGTGCTCTTGGTGTGCAGCTTCCCAGTCTGCTACTTTGACTTGTTATCTCCAGGCCTTCTTCAGCTGGATCATTCCAGTTCTAAAATCTGTCTCTGTAAGGCTCATCTAGGAGCTGCTGTTCTGCTGTATGGTACTGCAGCTCCTCGCCTCTATAATTTTGTTCCTTTTTAATACAATGTGCCATCAAGTATAATGCATGGGATATAAGCCTCAATTATTGTCAGTGTACTTGGGGACTCGTACCAATTATAGTGATATTTCTCTGACAGGCCCCAGGCGAGCTGCAGCTTGGAGTTCCTCAATACTGAGAAACAAAGATATTTTCTTTATGGGAGGTTTTCTAGTAGCACTTGAAATCCTTCAGTTTAAAACTGTCCTGAATTTTTTTCATTTAGATGTGGTAATTTCTGTGCTTTACATGAAGACATGTATTCAATCTGTACTGTTATAATTTAATATACTTTAGAACATACTAATTATAGTGAACCTCGTTTCCTTACAACTTGGCTAGGTGGAGCAGAAGTTTCACAGCAGACTCAGGCACCAAACACTACCCTTTGTCATGTCTCTGGCTTTCTCCTTAGCTCTCTTCATTACACATCTCCTCCCCTTTCTGACACCCTCTTCAATTATTTCCTTTCTGTCACCTCTCCATTTTTTTTTTTTTTTGGTACCAGGGATTGAACTCAGGTCCTTGTGCTTGCAGGGCAGGTGGCGGCACCACTGAGCTAAAATCCCCTGCCCTCCTCTCCATTTTTCTTCATTGTCTTATGGGAGTTAATTTTAAATGATTTTACTCTTTGAAACTTTCTACAAATATAAGAAAAAAGAACCCCTATCTGACCTAATTTTCACTGATTTCCTTGCCTTCTAACTCCAGAGTGACAGTTTTGGCCTCATCAATGTTCTCTCCCAACACCTGAAGAGAGAACATTGCTCTTTAACTTGTACTGTTTTATTTTAATGCAACCCACTTCCTCCCTCTGAGCCAATGAGTCATTTTCTCTTTTTAAAGTGAGCCTTAAAAATCTTTCATTTCTCTTCAGTTTAAAATTATTCTTTTTGTGAAGTACTTCATGTCCTGTGTATGAAAGACACCCCACAAGACCGAAGACTACCTTCAGCACTCAAGGACTACACTAATATGTGCAACATACCTTGACTTAAAATTTTTTCTGTGTAAAAAAATAAAATGTTGAGTTAAATGGACACCATTTACTTTTCTTTATGGAGGCAAGGGTTCTTATCTCTTGTTCACTAGTGAATTTCCAGAATCTTGTTACATAGTAGGGTTTTGTTTTGTTCTGTTTGGTTGAGACTCACTATGTGGTCCAGGCTGGCCTTGAATTCATGGCCATTCTCTTGCCTCAGCCTCCCCAGTGCTGGGATTACAGGTATGGCCACCCAGTGACATAGTAGGTTTGTAATAAGTATTTGTTGAATTAATAAATGATTGATATGATTGATTTTCTCCTCCTCAATCTTTTTTTTTGGTGCTGGGGACTGAACCCAGGACTTGGCACACAGAGCATGCTAAGCATATATCACTGAGCTACAGCCTTGGTGGTCCTCCTCAATCTTTTTAACATTTTAAATGCCATTTATGTAGTTAACATTTTCACATTGGGATCTTTTATAATGAAGTAGAAAATACTGCAGAAGATACAGCAATACTGTGAGGGCAAGTTTAGAAAATGCCTAAAGAGAGGCACATTCATTTCAGCACGATTTATAGAATTTACATTAGTGTGTCAAATGTCTTCTAATACATATCTCTGTGACTCATTTAATCTGCCACCACATGATGGTATGTCTTGCTTTTAATGTCACTTTGTGTTGCAACCTCAGAGCAATAATTGATTTAGGTAAGAATCTTCAATGGATACTGAAATTAATGGTGAAAGCTTACTGCAGAACAAGGTATTCATAGTCTCAAAGTATCACCCCACAAATTACTAATTTCCCAAAGGAATTTTTGTGTCTTCTACAATGAAATTTCATGAATACTATCTTTTTTTCATGAATAGTATCTTAATCACATGACCATAGTTATCTTAATAATGGGACAAACTGCAATCATGTGCCTCCTGACATGATATAAAGAGACCATAATATCATTTATGTAGTTTTTCTGTCAAAAATGTTTAAGATTTCAAATAGTGAGGTGGGTGTCATGGCACATCCCTGAAATCCTAGGACTAGGGAGACCGAGGCAAGAAGATCATCTGTCCCAAAAAGAAAAAGAAAAAGAAAAAGTTTCAAATAATGAGAAAAACATTGATTCCAAATTGAGATTGAGGGACATTGTAAAATAGCTGGCTTGTTCTTTAAAATGTCAGTGTCATAAAACTCTAACAAAGGTTCAGGAATGTTCTGATTAAAGGAGACTAAAGAGATACAACAATTATATGCAATGCATACTCCTCAATCACTCCTAAATAGAGAGCAAAATTAAAAAATCCCAACAACTATAAAGGACCTTTTGGGGACAACTGGAGACACATGGATAGAACTGCAGATTAGATAACACTACATATTATGCCAATGTTAAATTCCCTGAACGTGACAATCATATTGTGGTTATGCAGGAGACTATTCTTGTTCTTAGAAGAGATATGCTGAACTATTAAGAGGTAAAAGTGTCATGGTAACTGGAAATAATTCTCAGTGGTTAGGGGAAAAAGTAACTCCCAAACAGCTCACATAAACAATAATATATGTGTGTGCATGTATACATATATATAGTATGTGTGTGTATGGATAAACAAAAAGATTTTATAGATACACACAAGAGTAAATGTGATAATATGTTCACTGATAAATCTAAGTAAATGATATATGTGTATTCATTGTCCTAATCTTGCAGCTTTTCTCTGATTAAAATTTTTTCTAAGTAAAAAGTTACTTTTAAAAATGTTTTAAAAAGCAGCGTTAGCTCAGGGTTATTTTGATTGCTTATTCAGACTCACAATGCTCAAAATTTTGGATGGTGACAACTAAAGTCTCCTTGAATTTTCTGTTTTTAATACCCTATCTTAGTTTTCCTTGTCTTTATATTTCCTATCACTTTTTAAATAGAGTCGTCAATAGTTCTAGTGTGTGCATACATACTGCAGCAAATTCTGAATATGCCTCATGTAGACTGAAATTGTTTCTCTCAGCAGGAGATTTCTCTCTAGTACCTCTTTTAAGGCTATCACACGAATAAACTGTAGAAAATCTGCTTTTTTGTTTTCAAGCTACTGCTTATCAGTGCAATAGAAACCACTTGTGTATCTAGAATATAAATTTTTATTTTCCAAGGGGATTTTTCTCACTGTCCTCCAATATCTTATGAGTCTCAGAGCAAAGTATAGCCCACAGTACTGCTGAAAAGGATTAAACTACTGCTTTATTCTACAAAGAACTACAGAAAAATAGATTCTGGATAACAAATGTGTGATACTTGCAATTATGAAGTCATACGCTCTGTGCAATAGTGATTTGTAATACAGATATGCCCCCAGCAAGGCTGATTATTTTGAAATTATTTTATTCTACACTCTAACCCTGTTGATAATAACCTCTGTGAAATAAAGATTAACCTCTGTGAAAAGGCAAATATTGGGGCTTACGTCATAGTTGCTCCTGGATCAGCAGTCATTTGATTGGTCACAAAAACAGCCACATTATATTCTGTCAAGAAATAAAATTAAGAAATTAAGATATGGGCAATAAAAATATAAACATTCATTGTTTAGATTTCAGAATTTAGGAATATTATAACATGATTTTACAAACAAGATCATATTCCTATTTTTTGATAACAAATTAATTTATTAAAAGTTATTATCATTATTATTTAGGACAGAATCTATTTTTATTTTTTTAAAAAAGAGTTGTATTCCCATGAAGGTAACTTTAAAAACCATTACCTTCTGACATTATTGTAAGCTTCTCTGCAACCCAAACATAGTCACAGATGCTGTTCTGATAGTGTCATTTAAAAAATCTACCTTCTGGGCCAGGGATTTAGCTCAGTGGTTCCACCACTTGCCTTGCAAGCATGAGGTCCTGAGTTTGATCCCTGGTACCAAAAAAACCAAAAATACCTTCTGAGATTTTTTGGAGTCTTGACAACATCTGGGCCAGTTTTTGTTGCCGTTCAGCCAACTCCCCACGACCACTGAAATCCACTCGGAAAAGCGCCATTATTGAATCAATGATCTGCACAGGATTAATGTAAAAATAAAGATGCATTTGGAAATGGAAGGAAGAAGTCCATTTAAATAGAAATCAATAGAATAATCTACTAAGTAGCTCTTAAATGGGCTGTATTTAAAAACCTGTACCAGCAGCTTGAAGATACCAGCTTCTTCATGGAACTTTGCTGCTACATAATCAAGTAGCTCCATCTGATGTTCACCTTGTGGGAAATACAATGAGGAAATGTTATGAAAGCCAACATAAGCAAAGGCTAAGATCATTCATTTCCTTGGGAGTCAGGGGAAAGGGAGTCCTTGAAGGGCTCTCTTAATTTTTCATGGCTTTACTACATAAACATGACTGCACCTTCTGCCTCATGCCAAGCATACACAGGAAATGCCTGCTACCCATAAAGAATGCTGTGCTGGGTAGTGGGGGTGTAGCTCAGTGGTAAAGCACGCGACTAGTGTGCATGGGGCCCTGGGTCTAATCTCCAGCACCACACACTACACACACACACACACACACACACACACACACACACACACACAGAGAAGAATGTTACTCAGCATTTCAAAGACAAAATAATTTGAGAGTATAGTATTTTGGCATCTAAGGATTTAACAAATGATAAAATTTGTGGACTAATTTGGAGAGAAGCGAAATAAAATGAAAAAAAAAAAAACAGTTGAAAGTATTGTATCAGTCAGAGTAAATCAGTGCTGCTGAAGCATCCATTTGCTTGGAGCTCTTACTAGTATATGCACGTGCATAAAGTACATTGTCCAGTACTGCATCATGGTCCACATTGAAACGATCAGCAATGTCCCGAAGGCGATCTGGACGGCTGGAAAGTGCCAAGATTAAGGATCCAATACATCCATTCCAAAAAAAGTTTACATAATAACTACAAAATGTAATACCTTAAGTATACAAAGTAACAGTGAGGCAAAACTGTATCTGCAAAGGTACTCTGAAAGATGACAGTAATCACTTAAAGTTTGTACCAGATTTTATTTTTTGTAAGTGCTTCAGTTTACCTTAGGGTCATAGAAATGGTCAGAGTAATGAATTTAAATATTAAATTATCAAATCTTTAAAATAACCTTAGAAGCCAGTTGATATGATCTGTATTACATTTTATAGAAGAGGACATTGACAATCATATTATGCAAATGATTCAGGATTATGAAATAAAATAGTTAAAAGAAAAAAGTAGAAAAAAAAAGTAGAAGCTAAGGTTTGTGAATCTTGTTCACAGTTCTATAAAAATAGATCTAGTCTAGAAAGATAATATCACTGAATTATAATTCAGGTCACTTCAAAATGAGTTCACTCTTCATACTCTTCATCTATTAAAAATGAAACAGTAAAGAGCCAGACATGGTGGCACATGCCTGTAAACTCAGCACTTGGGAGGCTGAGGCAGGATTGCTTCGAGTTTGAGGCTAGTCTGGGCTACACAGTGAGTTCAAGGCTAGCCTGAACTACATAGAGAGTCCCTATCTCAAAACAAACAAAAGAAAAGAAACAGTTAAATACTATACAATTAATCATGTGTTGCCAACAAAAAGGTGAACCAAAACGTGAAAAAAGTAACCTTGAGGGTCCAGAAGGAAATGATCAGCCCACGGTTTTTGGCTTAAATATGGTTTTAAACCAACCCTCTTCTAAAGGAGTTATCAGCTGTCTGAAATTAGTAAATTCATAAGGAGGCAAATTCTGTATATCTGCAAAGATACTTTAAAATATGCTAATAATGACTAGTATCTATGAACTACAAAATAGTAAATATTTTATTCTTAGGTGGGTTTTTTTGTTTTTCTTTTTTGTTTTATGTTTTTGAGACAAGGTCTTGCTGTGTAGTTTAGGCTGGCCTTGAACTCACTTATGTAGCCCAGGGTGGCCTTGAACTCATGGCGATCCTCCTGCCCCAGTCTCCTGAGTGCTGGGATTACAGGTGTGTGCCACCATGCCCGGTTTATTAGGTTTTTGATGATCCTAACAGTATGCCCAAAGTGAAATGACAAAATATAAATGTATATCTGTGGTACATTTCACATTTGTTTTCCAGCCATGTATGTCTTAATACACTATATATGTTTTTGTGTTTCGAGCTTCAGTGGTAGCCACTAAAATTTTCCATTTCTATTGAAGGTGCTTTGGTGGACAAGTTAAAGAAAATAAGAATCAGAAGAAGTAATAAAAATGTTTTCACCATGTCAGTTTCTACAAAACCTAGATACTATGTGAGCAGGAGTGTGGAAGTTGGATTTACACTGAAGGAAAGTTCAAATCTGTAAATATTTACTAACTGATTACCATGTGGTACTAATTACCATATTACCCAATTACCAGTGCAAAACTCTGTGGAGGATATAAAGAGTAATAAGACTATCTATTCCCTGGACAAACTTAAAACATAAAGAGACAAAATATAAACACATAAGATAAATACGAAGAGACTGCCCTTCGGTCACTTGACCCAGATGGCAGCAGGACAAAGATTTGGAATGGTAGCTGAGGACCTACTTGATGTCTGTGAAATCGATGTTATTTCCCAGTGGTTCTTTTTCAGAAACTTTGGTTAAATGATCAAAGTTGATTTATGACCCTGTGCTTTTAGGAAGGCATGACTGTGGGCCCAAGAATAAAGGCTGTTAGTTGAAAGGTGAAAAAAAAAAAAAGAAATATGAAAAGACATAAGTATATATGTGAGAGATATTGAAAAGAATGAGAACATTTCACTGTGGCCCTTGTCACAGTTCCAGCATTTTGCATGTAACTTAGCTTCCTTTTTCTTTTTCTTTCTTGATAAAATCCAAATTTCCCAAACATTGGCTATTAAACTGCAAGAACAATTCCTCTCTCTGAGGATCATCTTTAACTCTTTCTGAAGGTGGCTTAATTCCATTCAAGTCCCTCTTGCTAAAAGCTCTACATGTTCCAACCTCCTGCCACAGTCACAAGCCTCATTCAGAGTCTACTCATGCCTTGCACTTCCCAATGGTCTCCTGCAAATAGTTTTTTGGTTTTCTTTTACATGAGTTTTGCTGTTGTTGTTTGTTTTTTCAGTATTGGGGATCAAATCTAGGGGCACTCTCCCACTGAGCTACATCCCCAGCCCATTTTTAAATTTTGAGACAGGATCTTGCTAAGTACAGTAACTAAGTTGCCCAACAGGACTGGAATTTATGATTCTCCTACCTCAGCATCCCTCAGTGCTAGGATTATGGCCACTGAGCCTGGCTTCTGATGAATATTTTAGAGAGTAATTTCTATAATAGATCAAGAAGGAAAAGTTTTTCTGAATTGGGTAATTAAGAGAAAATTGGAGAGCTGGGCATCGTGGCGCATGTTTGTAATCCCAGCCTTCAGGAGGCTGAGGCAGGAGGATTGCTACGAGTTTGAGGACAATCTGGGCTACATAGTGAGTTCAGGGCCAGCCTGAACTACAAAGGGAGACCCTGCCTCAAAAAACAGAAAATTAGAAATGAGAGGTTTAAATGATATGTATAATTCAGAAAGGCTGCAAGAGGGGGATAAAAGGAACAAAAACCCAACAGGATAGAAACACCATGCAAATTTCTCTAGGACTAGCCAAATTAGCATTCAAGAATGGAGAGAAATAAAGGCATTTTCAGACATATCAGGGTTTAAAGTTTTACTGCCTGGATATCTCATATCTCCCTCCACCCCTCTCTCAGTACTGAACTCAGGGTCTTCATACTGAGCTACATCCCCAGGCTGGGTATGTAAAAATTTTTTCGAGATAGGGTCAGGCTGGTATTGAACTTGGGATCATCCTGTCTCAAATTCTCAGAATGCTATATTACAGGTAGATGCCACCAGGCCCATTCAATCTGAATTACTTTTCTGAAAGAAGTTCTTAAGTAGGTACTCTGGCAAAACAAAAATACAGGAAAGAAGATTTTTTAATGTATAAAGAAAATGAAAATTAATTTAACTGCTGATATATGATGTTTTCAAATTTTAATAAGACTATACTTAGGGCAATGAGATTATTTTAGAATATATTTATCTCTTTTCCTCTAGTAGTAACAACAGTGAGAAATAAGCCTAGAGAAGCTGGGACTTCATTGTGAATGGCTTTACAAACTTGTACAGGTGTTTTTTCTTTCATCCCCTGGCCAATTCTACAATGCTTTACTCTCTTACTGTATGTTTGCAAAAAAGAAAAACCTTCCATCACTTTACCTACTGCAAATGTTCCCTTGAATATCTAATTTCTTTTTCTTTCTTTTTTTTTTTTGGTACCAGGGATTGAACTCAGGACCTTGCGCTTGCGAGGCAGGCACAGTGCCACTGAGCTAAATCCCTGGCCCTTGAATACCTAATTTCTAATTTCAGTGATGTTTCTCAGTCTACACCTTCCAAAGTTCTCTCAGTGGAACATTACCAACTATTCTTTTCTCCTAAAAACTCTCCTTTAGCATATTGTATATATACACAAAGGATCTAAAAGGACACACCAACTAAGCTGCATTTGATGGAAAATGCCTTTTCTTTGGTTCTTGTGTTTTTGTTTTCTGTAACACACATTTTAACTTCATAAGAATTAAGGTTATTTTTAAAAAACCCCCACCCAAAGAACTTTTCCTTTAGGTTGGCTTCCACAACCAGATTTCCTCCTACTTCTTTTGTCTGTGTAAGTTCCTCTTCTTAAATATAGCACATCTCACAGTTATGCTGTCAGTTCTCTTCTCTCTTTTAAGCTCTTTCTCCTGTGCTTAATTCATCCATATCTCTGCCCCTACCCTTTTCTCAAGCTGAGTCCAACATTTCCAACTGTCATCTTTATAGTCTCCTGGGTCTCACATTCAACATACAAAAAGGAAACCCTGCTTTTCTCTGAAGCATGATGTTCCCAATTCTATCATTACCATCATTATTCTCCTAGTATCTATGCAAAAACCCTGACAGTGGTTTCTCAAACCTCTCATTCGTTTATCTACAAATATAGTCACTAAGTCCTATCAATTTTCCTAATATTTCTTGTCTTTTTCTTTTTATTCTTGCTGCTTCCAACCAAGATCAAGTTCTCATTACTTGCCTACAATATTGCAACACCATCCACTAACACCCACTCTCATGTCAAAGCCCTTCATAGCTAAGACTTAAATCACCTTTCTAGCCTTGTATTCTGGAATACCTTGACTTCAATCAAACCACATTTCTTCCTGTGATCCAACAGCCTCTTCCCTTTTCTTTCTGTGCTTTTGCTCTCTTCATAATTTTCCCTTTATTTGAGACCATGAGTCTGAGTCAATAATCTTCTTTCTATTACAAAAGCAAAATCTTTGGAGAAGCAGGAATACTAAAAATGAATAAGAGCTGAGCATGGTGGTGTATGCCTGAAATCCCAGCACTTGGGAGGCTGAGGCAGGAGAATCCTGTGTTTGAGGTCACCCTTGGCTACACAATGAATTCAAGCCAACTTGGACTACAGAGCAAAACCTTGTCACAAACAAACAAACAAACAAACAAAACAAAAAGGTATAATTTCCTCTTGTGTATTTGTTTTGTCAGTTTTACACCAAACCCATGGGAAGTAAAACATTAAGTAAAATGTGATTTGAGAATTTGACCAGTAATTATTTTCCCCCTTGCCTTTTCTCATTATTGCTGTTTTATGGAGTTACCACAAAAATGATGTATTTTAAGCAAACTCTTGGCCGGGGATTTTGCTCAGTTGTTTTACCGCCTGTTGCGCAAGCGCAAGGACGGGAGTTCGATCCCCGGTACCAAAAAAAAAGAAAAACAAATAAAAAGGTTACAACGTATTTTCTGTATCAATGAAGATAATCTTTCCTCCTGAGTAGCCACCTGCTCCTGGAAGTTGAGCTGTTACTAGGAAGCAATGAAAAAAATAAGAGTGAGTGAACTGTGTACAAAGGAATATATAAATCAACATTGAATTTACGCTGGTTCCAACTCTTTAGTACATGTAGCAAAGCATAATGATCCTTTAATTTCTAAACAGCATGCTGCAGTTTAATCTTATTAACCAGTGGTGAAATAGTAAATATTTTGCCAAGACAGTAGTAATTCAACAAAGAATTTCAGTATCTCTCTCAATGGGAGATATTCACAGAAGTTAATTCTCCCTCCAAAAATGGAAGTAGAATTTAAATATTACTAATTGTCTTTTATAAGAAAAAAATCACAAATATAATTTGTGCTATATAACTCATTTAAGTTACCTTTAAATAATGTAGGTTATTTAAGTGCATTTATTTTTTATGTTTTTATGTGGTAGTAGTTAGTACTGTACTTCAAACCAGATATCTGCATTACTTTGCTTTCCAAAACCACCCTAAGATTTGGCACATTCATTGTTTCTTTTTACAGATGAAACAAATTAGAGGTAAAGCAACTTCCCCAAGGTCACACAGCTAAAGGGGAAAGAAGAGTGGAGTCAGGCATCCTGATTCCAGAACCCTCTTCTAAAGCACATTGGCATGTTCCTTCTACTTAAGTCAAACAAATGCAAAGTAGTGTCCTTGTGAAAAAGGAGCTATCTTTGCTTAGTTTGTTTTAGAAAAATTTGTTTTTAAGTCTCTCTTAGGGTCTACCTTACTTCATGGAAAGTAAAGGATTCTAGGCCTCAATAGATGTGTCATTCTTGTAAAAAAAAGACAGAACAGATGGAATAAGAAAAACTGAGATGGTGGACACCTCTCCTGCCAACACTCACACACCCACTTACCTTCTCCTTGTTTTCATTCAGTGTTCATCATGTAGTACATACAACAAACAGCACCTCAAACACCACTCATTCAAAGACCAGCTCTTGAATCTGTGCGACCATGGACGGGTTACTTAACCTCTCTTGAGTTTTGTGCTTCCTTCTAAATTTGTTGAGATTACATGAGATTATGTAAAATGTCAGGCACAGAGTACATAGATGGTAAGTGAAAGCTATGATCACTGTTATTACTATGTTGTTGTCATGTGTCCTTACCACAGAGGGTATGGGAGAGCTGAGTTTTCCCCGTACGAAATTCTGTGAAATACAGAAAAGGTAATTTTAAAAATGCATACTTTTTAGATATTTTTATAAAAATAAAACATGACCTCAGAATATTACTATTTCTTTTCCAACTGTCAAATCTCACCCTTAAAGTGGCTCTTGTAGATCTACAGATAGATTCTGTATATATTGATACCAATAATAAAAATAAGGTATTCTTGCACAGATCTGTCTTTTAGATAAAAATTTAAGCAAGTTTTCCCTAGAAACACTCATATAAATGAAAATTAAGGATCCTCACCACAGGAAAGAAAGCCTAGGGATCCACCACTGAACTGAGATCCTCAAGGGGGAGCTGAAGTAATCTCAAATTGGTGGCACTGCCTTGTTACCAGAGGCAAATTCCTTCTATAGAAAAACTTCTCTACTTACCAGTTAGGTCCACTGTACTCTCATAGATTAAAATTAAGCAATAAGCTCACAAATATAAAAAAATTAATGAAACAAAGTAAGTCACTAGGACTGAGTCAACAGAAATAATGAAGCTCTACACCACACTCCAGAGCTAGGAGTATAGCTCAGTGCTGCAGTACTTGCCAGCATATGTGAGGCCCTGGGTTTGATCCCCAAAGCCACACATAAATAAAAAGATGAAATCCAGATTTAAATCCCCAAGTCAATAGAAACAATAAAACATTTAGTTCCCTGACCCCCAAAGCCACACATAAATAAAAAGATGAAATCCAGATTTAAATCCCCAAGTCAACAGAAACAATAAAACATTTAGTTCCCGAGGACTTCAAATACAAAATTGTTAGATGTGGTGCATAATATAGCTATACATGCAAAACAAGAAAAAAATGGCAGGGCGGGGCAGTGTAGCTCAGCAGCACAGCACTTCCCTGGCAAGTGCAAGCCCCTGAGTCTGGTACCAAAAAAATATATATATACATCTATATATATCTATATATATCTATATATAGATATATATCTGTACATGAATTGGTAAAAAATATAGAGGCTATAATCAGTAAAGAGAGAATCTCATCTCTGTATCCATGGAATTTGCATTGCTTAGACATAAGATCAACCTCATTATTCAGTTACCTTTTGGAGGAATAAGACACCTTTATTCCCTTCTATAGTAATCACAGATACAAAGATAAAAATGTCAGTATGACCCATCTGTAGTTATTATTTATTTTCACTGCATACCAGAATGATTCTGCATGACATAATTGAGATTTCATCATAACTTTCAAAATAGGAACTTATTTGTTCATTATTTAACTATACGTGTGTATAAAATTTCATATAACAAAATATTAAGGTTCTACCTACCTCCAAAAGCTTCTGTGATTGCCATGCTTTCAATTCCACCTCCTAGCAACTTACTGGAAATAGAAAGAAAGCATTAGTAACAGGGATAGAAATAGAGATATCAAGAAATGAGAAAAAATTCATAAAATTAGCAACCTATCATCTATTTATCAATCTATCTCTACAATATGAACAGGAATTCTTAGCTGAACAATTGACACTCACCCTGTTCAGATCATAGGTTCTCCTGTGTATGAGCAGGTAGATCAGTAAAGCAATTAAGAAGCTCTGGTCTTTTTACTTCTGGGTATCAACAGTGCAGGTGTTAGTAAGACCTTCTGTTCACTATTATTCTGAACTGAATTGGAATTAGAATACATGGTCTTGGGTTTTTTGTTGTTTTGTAGTGCTGGGGGTTGAACCAGAGCCTTGTACGTGCTGGGGAAGTGCTCTACCACTGAGCTATCCCCTCAGCCAAGTGGTCATAGTTGTTATTGGGTGTTTCAAATTGTGCAAGAATAATGTTTCTAAGAGTCGATTGAATATTAAATTTTTAATATACTGAAAAATATGAAAGAGATGTCAGAAGAATCCAGTGATCATCACCATGTTTAGTTTATCTCACAAAAATAAAATTTTATGGATAACATATCAGAACTGACAATGTTCAAAGATGTTACAGTTAGGAGAATAACTGCTAGGTTTTGACAGCATACATTTAATTGCTAACCCAGTGTTTTAGTGCATTTAATGTTCTTGATATGAAAAGAACTAAATTTAAGTTATGATCTTTTATTCATTAAATGTAATAAATATTATGTTAACTGTGCTAAGACCCAGTAGGAGCACTTTAAAAATCTTAGGAGCAGTGGTTCCGCTGCCTGCCTCCCAAGTGCAAGGTCCCGAGTTCGATCCCTGGTACAAAAAAAAAAAAAACACCTTAGGAGGGCTTTAAAAACATCTATTAGCATGTCTTTTTTGGACAGAGATAGAGATAAGATGATCCAGTTGATTTACATTTACATAGTTTAAGAGAGCCATTTAAATGTAAATTGAAGAAAAGTTGGAAGTTACCCACAAACTTAATGAAGCCTGGAGACTACAATGAAGAAGGAAAAATCTTGATACTGTCCTGCTAACTTGAATCTAAAAAACTTGAGCTGAGAGATCAGCCCATCTGGAGGTCAGGCCCTTGGAGACTCTAATAGGCTAACCAACTATTAAAGAGAGATTTAGTGGTCGACAACTCGAGGAACAACACCCCTGAGTGTCTGACTCCCCTCCACTTGGTGGTCAAAAAAGAGCCCAAGGTAAGTGGCAGCAGCCAAAAGATGATGCAGTGGGTGGCCACAAAGTCACCCAAAAAGAGGAAGACCAAGAGACACCCCTAAAGGATGAGACCAACACACCCCAGTGGTCCAGCCAGTTCCTGCAGAAGAGCCTGCTGCCTGCCAAGAGAGGTGGCGCGGGCCTCCTGGTGCGATGGCTGAAGCAGCCAAGTATCCTCACATTCAGTAGCCAGTCCTGGCCCTGGACATTTTAGGGGTTTGTTTGCGTGGGAGGCAGCGGCACTGGCTAGATGACAGTTGTGGCTCACCAGGAAAGCAGCCACCCTGGCCTTGAGTGGCAGCTGTGGGCAGCGGGAAGAGGGGCTGCCTTCTGCCTGTGCCTGAGGGCCTGGAGCCCTCAGCCTGGCCTGCTGCTCCCATAGGGCTGTTGCCTGCCCAGCCGAGGGAGCAAGCCCAACATGTGGGCTTGGCTTGACTTTGGTTTCCCTTGAAGTGTAAAAATGTTATTTTTCAGAAATGTCAAGACAATCACGTAAGAAAGGGAAAATGTGATCCTCCACTTGTCCTAGAAATAAATAAGGAAGGCATAAAATTGCTTTTTTAATTATGGAAGTTGGAAGTTTAGCATCAGTATCCAAAGTAAACAACAACAAACATTAAAAAAAAGACAGAGAGCTTTACTTGTCCCTTCCCATCTTGAGAAAATTTACCCTGAAAGGCAATAGCTCTGGGAAATATCAGACAAAATTCATGTCTGATATGTAATGTCAATAATCTGGAAAAGGTAACCCGCAAATTCGCCTCTAAGGGTACCAAAAAATTACTTGGGATAATATAGTCTCCTTTGTAAAACTCAGGAAAATTTACAATTAGATATAGAAATAATATTTTCAAATCTAGAGCGATTTAAAAATGGTGATACAAATCAAACCCAGATTATAATATCACAGTAAATCTGGTAATAATCTGTGTATACTTGACATTTGAAATTATTTAAAGTGTAAGAGTACTTGGCCTCTTTATCATAACAAAATAACCTCTGGATGATTAAATCATATATTTATATGAAATATACACAAAATGTATATATTTATATTTATATTTTTTTCAAACTCAGGGGCATTTCCCAAGTAGCTGGGATTATAAGTGTGCACCACCATACTCAGTAAGATCTGTCATTTTTATATTGATAACTAAATTTATCAACAGTAACTGAACATTTATGAGTGCCTAAATCTCACTATATATTTTTTTTTTTTTGGTACCAGGGATTGAACTCAGGACCTTGCGCTTGTGAGGCAGGCGTGGCACCACTGAGCTAAATCCCTGGCCCCATCACTATACTTTTAAGTTTATTAGATTTACAGAAGATATTTAGATAACTGTAAACATTTGAGTGTTAATAGACAAAAATGCCAGGTGTGGTAGTGCACATCTGTAATCCCAGCATTTGGGAGGCTGAGGCAGGAGATTTGCTGTCAGTTCGAGCCCAGTGTGGGCCACATAGTTCAAGGCCAGTCTACATAGGGAGACCCTGTCTTAAAAAAAAAAGACAAATAGAGGTTTTAAAGGAAATTTTGAAAGTTTCCAGTATCAAAATGGAGTCACTTATGTCAAACTCTTACATAATGGAGCCAGGGGAGTCCATGAAAAAAACCCTTTGCACATACATGCCTGTAATAAGACTATCAACAGATGATCCTTCACATAAACTAGAAAGTAATATGACCTACTGCAAGGAGTTCTCAAGATTGCAATATTCCAGATAAGGTGTTTGAACAAAGACACATGCCTAGCAATGGCTGTCTCAGCCAATAAGTCACATTGCTCCTAAAAAAGACCCCTACAGGGGCTGGGGATTTAGCTCAGTGGTTCCGGTGCCTGCCTCGCAAGCGTAAGGTCCCAAGTTCAATCCCTGGTACCAAAAAAAAACAACGAAAAAAAAGACCCCTATAATCTCTGGTTTCAACACAGACTTCCTATCTTCTTTATCTATAAAAGATTTCCCTTTATCCCCAGCCCCCTGGATATGTCTGTGGCCATATTGAGTATATCCTGAAACGCAATTCTGTTATTCCCAAATAAATTCATTTATTCTGGAGCACCTGAAACAGAGAGAAACTCAAGACAGTTTCTTTTTATGTTGATAAGATAACAATACACACTAAATGTATAATTTAGAATGCTTAAGGGAATTTAGTTAACTGTATTATAAAGTCCCTCTTAAATTTTGCTAGATTTATAAATGGACTTAAAGCCTAAGGAAAAATGAATAACATTTTAATAAATCAGTTATTAATTTTTAAAAACCTAGCTCCTTACTTTTTTTGTGCCCAAAAGCAAACATCAAGTACACCAGAAATCTCAACAATGACAGTAATAAATTTTCTAGCCCAAAGCTTCTTAAGGTACCATAAGTTATCAAATGAATATCAAATGTTGGAATCAAATATTTTGTTGACCAGCTTGATTTTGACCAATTTGCTCTGGGGTAGGATTTTCCATGGCAAAAAAAAAAAGTTCTGTGATTTAAAGAGTTTGGGGAGGGCCAGTGATTTAGCTCAGTGGTTCCGCTGCCTGCCTTGCAAGTGCAAGGTCCTGAGTTCAATCACCAGTACCAAAAAAAAAAAAAATGTTTGGGGAAATACTGGGTTCAGCAGATTTTTTTTTTTTCTTACTGCAGAATTTTACAGAACCTTACTAGGCCAGTGTATATTGTGACTCTCCCAAAACATAGTATACTGTCCTCCCCAAATCTATTGTATTCAGTATATGTTTATTCATTTAGTCATTCAACAAATATTTATTTATTTATTTATTTATTTATTTATTTTTTGGTACCTGGGATCAAACTCAGTTCCTTGCACTTGCGAGGCAGGCAGCGGAACCAGTGAGATAAATCCCGGGCCCTCAACAAATATTTATTGAGCGAGCACCACTTTATCTTTTTGGGATAAAGCAAAGAACAAAAGAGACAGAAATCCTTTACCTAAGGGAGCTAACATTCTAGTAGAAGATCTGAAAATAAACATAAATAAATAAAGGGCTGGATGTATATCTCACTGTTAGGGGACTTGCCTGGTATGCACAAAGCCCTGGGTTCAATCCACAGCAACACACACACACACACACACACACAAAATGCGGTGTGTCAGATGTTATTAAAGGCTATGAATAAAGATAAGATTGGAGTTTGAAGGTGGGGAGTTTACATTTTCAAATAAAGTGATCAAAGAAATCCTTCTTGAGAGGTGGACATTTTAGCAAAGGCCTGTAAGAGATGACAAGATATGGAGCTATGCAAGGACAGAGTATTCTAGGCAGAAGGAACACCAATTGCAAAGGCCCTGATGCAGGACAGGAGTGTCTCTAACTGGGCAAAGAGGCCAGTGTGGCAGGTACATAGTAAACGTGCACAGAGTAAAAGAGGAGATTAGACATTGGAGAAGACTGACTTTTGTTGTGAATGACACGGGGAGTCATGAGGGTGTTTTGAGCAGAGGAGTGTCATATTCTAAGTGATGTTTAAGAGGATCATATGGGCTCTTGTGTAAAGCATAAACAGTAGCACCAGGTTTGGAGGAAAGAGGTTAGATAGAAGTTATAAAGAGGTTATAAAGAGTTATAAAGAGGTTAGCTAGAAGCTATATCTCTCCAGGAGAGATATAAACAGGTTGTGTTTAGAACCAGTGAGGAAATAATAGTAGAGGTGGTAAGATATGATTGAATTGATATTTCCACTCTCTGTAGATGCACGCATATCTACCCAAGAATATATATTTCCAAATGTGGTAACACACGCCTGTAATCCCAGCAGTGGGGATGCTGAAGGAGGGGGATGGTGAATTTGAGGACAGCCTGGGCTACATATTAAGACTCTGCCTCAGAAAAAAAGACATACATATATATAATTTGTAAATTTACTATGGAAAATATCAAAATAAAAATAGTCAAAAAGTAAAATGATGGGCTGGGGATTTAGCTCAGTAGTTTTGCCACCTGCCTAGCAAGCTCAAGGACTGGAGTTCAATCCCCGGTACCAAAAAAAAAAAAAAGTAAAATGAGCCATCATACCTATCTTTTAGCTTAAACAATTATCAACTATCAACACAGGATCAATCTTTTCATATTAACTTCTAACCACCCTAACCACCTCTCTCCCTTTTCTTATTATTTTAAGTATATGACAACATATTTACTCCTAAAATTTCAGTATATAGCTCCAAAAGACAAGGGTTCTCATTTTTAGTACAATATCACTACTCTTACACTCTTACACCTAAAAATCAGTCATTCCTTAATATCAACCAGTAAATGTTTAATTTTTCAACTCTCTCATCTCCTGCATGAGCCTCCCAAGTGGCTGTATCTACAGGTATTAGCCACCATGCCAGCTTTTTTTAACAGTGTTTTTGAATCAAGATCCACATAAAATCCATTCATTGTGATTTTCTTTCTTTTTTTTTTTTCAGAATTGGGGGTTGGACCTAGGGCATCATGTATAATTGACATCTTTTAAATCTCTTTGAATCTATAGGTCTTCTCCCTGACTCCATCCTTTATTTTCCCCTGCAGAGTTTGGCATTGTAATTTATTTCTTAAAAAACTGGGTGGTTTGCTCTGATTAAATATAGTTTGAAGGTAGATCAGGTAGGATTTGTTAATGGATTAGAATAAAGGTGGGGTGGAGGAAAGGTGGGGTGGAGGAAAGGTGCTAAGGATGACATCAGGGTTTTATGTCTGAAGATCAGGAAAAAGTTCTGACACGAGGGACCTCCAAGAGAAGCAGACTTGGGGGAAAGATCAGGTTTCATTTTGGACCTATGAAGACTGACCTGCCCATTAGAAATCCAAATGGAAGGCATATATGACTATGAAATCCTTTTTTCACTTGATCTTAGCCAAAAAGCTGAGAAGTGAATGAAATCCTTTTTTCTGAGAAAATACGGCTTTTGTTCTAATATTTCTTGGCCATCATTCTAACTTAGAGACTAATCCTGCCTAGTAAGGGGGAAAAATGCATTCTGTTTAATTTCCATGGGGAAGAGGATGTTTCAGGAATCATAAGCGAGTAAATAAATAAAACCTGTCCTTGCTGAAGAACAAAACTAGTAGTGGATTATTTCTTCTAAAATATTCAGTCTAACAACTGATTTTAAAGTAAAGCCAAAAGGGAAAATAAAAATTTCTTCATTACTGGAGAAAGAAAAGAAATGAAAAGTTAAACTGATTTTTAAAAATAGTTTGTAGAGCCAAGTGTGGTGGCACATCCCTATAATCCCAGCACTCAGGAGGCTGAGGCAGGAGGATTGCTGCGAGTTTGAGGTCAGCTTGGGGTACATAGTGAGCTCAAGGCCAGCCTGAGCCACATAGCGAGACCCTTTCTCAAAAAAAAAAAAAATAGTTTGTAGGTTAATACAGGCTAATTCAGAAATCACATATTTTGGGTTAGAATTTCTTGGAAGAAATTTAATCCAGTTTCTGCAAGCAGTATGGAATCTGCTTCAGTTTGCATTTTACAGGGAAAAAAAAACACAAACTATTTCTAAAGAAGGTGCTATTTCTACCTATTATAGTAGAAATAACAACCAGATAAAGGAATATACGGGATTCCAAAATTGTGCTGAGTGGTTATTAAAAAAAAATGTGAGATACACACTCAAATTCCTGGCTCCCAGTGGTGATATGAAAAACCATCTTCCTCTTTTCACTGTATTCAAAAGCAGTCAAGAATCCTGGTTCCTACAGAAAGATAAAAGGACATGTTCAAAAGGGGGATACTATGATAATTGGAATTTCAAGTGCTGCCAAAAACTATATTCTCCATTATCAAAGTCATCATTTAGCATAAGCTACAGTACCTTTGTCTTTTTTTTTTTAGTATATGTGCTGCCGAAGTGAGCACCTTTGTCTTTGAAGGCAGTTCCAGATGATGGTTAAAAAACTGAGACTCCGGAGTCACATTACGTAAGTTCAAATTGTACCTCTAATAATTGTTAATTGTATGATGTGGAGTAAACTACTAAATCTTGCTATACTTCAGTTTCCTCTTTTGGGTTAAATGGGGATTATAATAGTGTTTCTTTTATAGGGTAGCCGAGAAGATTAAATGAAATATATTATTTATGGCACATATTTCAGTTGATTCCATTCAACAGCATCATTATTTTCCAGCTGTAGAAGTTTTAAGGAGCACAGAAATTTCAGTTTTCATTATTCATGTGGCAAATTTTCACATGACTGATATATTCTTTATTTGGTGAATTAATAAGCTACAGCTGATGCAGTGACAAAATGAATTCAAATGGATCCTGATATAGTTGAATGTGTTTTCCTCTTTGTTGTTTCATATTATGACAGTGGTTCTCAAACTTTGTAGAACTTGGGAGAAGAAGGAGCAAGCTCAGGCCCAACTATAGCTAAGAGAGGGTAAGACTCTTGAGTGCAGTAAAGGGTGCTTGTAAAAAAAAAGAGAAGTCTTTTCTTTAATAATAAGATGTGCAGGGCTGGGGATTTAGCTCAGTGGTTTCACCGCCTGCTGCGCAAGTGCAAGGACCTGAGTTCAATCCCCAATGCCAAAAAAAAAATAAATAAAATAATAATAATAATAAGCTGTGCTTGGGATTTAGCTCTGGTTCCACTGCCTGCCTCACAAGCATAAGGTCCTGAGTTCGATCCCTGGTTAAAAAAAAAAAAAGATGTACTTTCCAAAAGAAAATGATAATGCCTAGGAGATAAAACAAAGCAGTCTCCCAAGCCCTGGGTTGTGCTCCAGGACTTCCTTGGTCAGCCTGGCAGTTGCAGACTTGACCCACATATAAGCTAAAGCAACTGGACTGAGGTCAGAGTATTTCAGCTAGATCCTCTCCGAGTTCAGGACCACACTGCCACTTGCCACACTCTCCAGCCACTTCTGAAGAAGGAAACTAAAGGTAAAAAGAGCTTCCAGACTCACTGGGAATGAGACCTACACATACAAATGGAGAAGTGAAGAGGCCTGATCTGCAAACAGGGGGACTTGGTGACCCTTTTCTTTACATTGCTATTTCCAGAGCTGATATCTCTAGAGTCCCTAAAAGCTTGGATCTAAAGCACATATGCTTCTGCCTAGCAGCCTGACAGCTGCATGGGCTGCTGTTTGTAGGCCCAGTTAGGGGTTACTTTCACTCAAGTGCCTCAGTGAACAAATTTGAAGTCGTATCTATGTCAACTGCACACATGTGGAACCAACCTGGCTAGCCTTTTTCTAACCCAATGCTCCTCATCAATTGGCTTCTTCCAGGAGAGAACAACTTATTTGATACCAAGTGCTTTTACAGCAACCATAGGTATATTGGAGGGCATAAGACAAAAATAAGGAGGAGGAAGGTAAAACAAACAAACAGAAGAAAAGGCAAAGAAACAGAAAGCTAGATGGAGTAATATAAAAGGAAATAAAAATAAAAATTTTAGTAAAACAAATAAGTACTTTAATTAGTCTTCCAGGTCTCTCTCTCTCTTTTTTTTTCGTACCAGGGATCAAACTTGGGACCTTGCGCTTTTGAGGCACATGGCGGAACCACTGAGCTAAATCCCCAGCTTTCTTCTAGGTCTCTTAACGCCTACCTCAATCTTCCAAAAGCTGATTGTGGTTACTTTGAAGCTGAAGTGATAAAAAGTTAAGAGGAGTACAATATATCGTGATCTATAAGAACAGAGTTTCCACAATAGTTTCTAATGTTCATAATGAGAAAGGCTATGGAAACTCATAGAAGCCCTTCTAAACTAAAACAGCAAAGAATAGATTCTGCTTACAATAAGTTTGTTGGCTGCCTCTTTAATCTTGTCCACTTTGGCTTCTGAGAGCCCTTTGACATTGCATAGGGCTCTTCTTGTTGTCATCTGTATCCCTTTGATGGTACAGATTCCTACTGACTTCAGTTTCTTAATGTCGGCCATGTTCTGTAATACAAGAATGGGCACAGCAGATTGATAAAATGCCATCCTGAAAGGCTCCCATTCTATGTCATGTGCTTTCCTGTCCATCTCCATTCATCATGATGCCAATTTTATACAAACAACCAGGTGGAACCCACCCACCATGGAGCCAAATGTTCTGGAAATATCTGCGTAGAACATACCCAGCAGGTTGCCAAATGTTCTGGCTGTGCCCTGATTTCCCAAGAATGTTAGTGAGACCGTGGCAGTGTAACAAGGAATTCATCAGAAAAGTTGGTTGGTGGAAAAGTTAACACATTTATCACACATCCACCCCCTCAGTTCAGCTTCTTCCTTCTACATACAGAACTTCATTACCAGTAGTTCTAAAATTTTAAAACTGTTTTTATTCTTCTGCCCCGGAAGATCCAAGGAACTAATCACCAAAAGACTGGGATTTTTCTCTTGCTTCTATTTTCTAAAGCCAGTAGAGTTTATGAGGGCTTCAAAAGATGTCAGAGGAGTCTTACTATCAATGGTTGCAATTGAAATCCATGTAGTTTGTTATTTAAGTCTGAATTTCTGCCATCCTTTGCTGTAGCTACCAACAAATATAACTGATTTTATGTTAATGAAGACAGTAGATCTAGAGAGATAAGAAGATGGGGAATGAGATCATAGGTAGCACCAAACAACTCCAATAGATCGGTGGTTCTTATCAGGGACAAATTTAACCCCAGGTACATTTGACAGTGTCTGGAGACATTTTTTATTGTCTCAGCTGGAAGGGTGCTACTCGCATATAACAAATGAGTAGAAGCCAGTTGCATGAATACAGCTTGACATGACTACAGCCATCTTGAGTCATATACTGTCCTAGAGTAATAGTAATATTTTTCCTGCATAGTGTCCCTGAAGACTGTAAGTAGAACACACCATTACAATGTTATGTGGAGCTTTACCCATGGAGCACACAATGTGCTGACTCTTTGGTATTAGGGTAAGATAAAGCAGGTATAGCCAGGTGTGGTAGTGCACACCTGTAATCCCAGAATTTGGGAGGCTGAGGTAGGAGGATCGCCATGAGTTTGAGGCCAGCCTGGACTACATAGCAACACTCTGTCTCTAAATGAATAAATTAATGAATTAATGAATGATAAAGCAGGTATATTCTGCCTTGAAGTCTCTTTTGTCCTAACCAGTATATATGACCCTCCCTCTGACCCAAACTGAGGGGATCCACTTGGTTTTGCTGCCACCAGGACCACACTTTGATCAGCAAGTTCCCCAACAGTTTGTGCTCTGTGCAATCCTGAACGTGTCTGCTTCTTTTCTTCAGTCTCAGGCCCCAGTGGAGCCAAATCTCACACAATGGGACAAGGTTTTTCTGGAACACCAAGGATATTGTTAACCACCCTACAATGCTCATGACAGGCCCCCAAACAAAGAATTATCTAGGTTTGAGGAAGGCTGATACTGAGAAACTTGGGAATTGAACAACTTAGCACATATTGAAAAACTACTTACAATTCCATGTTTCTGTAATAGGTCAATGTCTTGAAACAGAGATTCCTAAAGGAGATGAAACAGAAAAATGCAGTTTTTGTTTCTTCATATTCAAATGTTGCATTATATTTAAAGAGTTAATTCAGTACTACAAGTCATCCCTCAAACTCTACCTCTCTAGGCAGACTGAGGTGGGAGCAATTTTTTTTTTCTTCACATTGTTACATATAAGAAGCACCAACATTCAAAGGTCTGGGAAGCCAATTATCTTTCCCTTGGGTTCCTTAAATCTTTAAAACCTTTATCCAAAACAGTAGAACAACACTTGAACTATTTAAAATGTTTTCTTGATTTTCCTACCCTCCAAATCTTGATCTGCACAACACCAAGCTATTGTTCAGTACTAGTGTGCATAGGTACCAATATAGCCATACCAGTTATGTTATTAAAATACTTTTCTACCAGGCCTGGGTGTAGCTCAGTGCTGGAGTCCTTGGCTAGCATTCATGAAGCCCTCCAAAAAATTTTTATAGCACTTGCTATGTAGCTAATCTTAGCATCCCTTGCCAAAGAAATTGTTACATATCTGTAAATTATGCCTTATTTCTACTTCCAGCTTCTAAAAATAATAGTTAACAGACAAGGAACTTGATTTTTATGGAATGACTGAATGTCTACATATCTTTCAACATTCTAGTCTTACCTCTTCATCTTGGAATCCTGATTCTTCCTGCACAACTTGATCCTCCTTCATACTGAAAGGGGAGCAGTAGAAAAATAACCAATTCTGGGAAAATAAGAAATATTTAAGAAGCAGTCATCCTTCATATAGTAAAACTTTTTTGCCTAGAGGCCTCATTTCAAAGTCACCAAAGACCAGAGGACAATAAGAGGAACACTGTTGAAAAAGATTGGGCTGATCCATCTCTCTGCTGGGTTTGTGACATTGTGTGTGTGTGTGTGTGTGTGTGTGTGTGTGTAGAGTGGGAGGCTGGGAAGTTTGTTTAGTTTCTTCTCTTCCCTCACTTTTATCATCTTCTGATATCCTATTGCAGTTAATCATGACTATAATATCTTTCTTTCATTGTAATGTTACTTAGAATTACCCATTGCTATTAAATATTGCCATTATGTGGATGCATATTGAGGCCATACTCTTAAGTGAAATAAATAGGACACACACGTGTAAATACTGAGCAGTTTCTCTAGTGTGAGAAACTGAAAGTGTAAATGAGGATTAAAATGATTAAAATGAATAATTGATAATTTGAAATAGGAAAAGGTCCAAAGGTGTAGTAGTGGTGGGAGGGGAAGGGGAAAGGGAAGAAGGGAAAGGAAAAAATTATGATAAAAGAAAAAAAAATGGAAACGAAGTCTATGTAAATAGGGAAGAGTAGAGGGAGTGAAGGGCGCACAGGTAATGGGGGAAAAATAAGAACTAAGATACATCATGCACAGGTACAAGCACCCAATGATAAATGTAAACGTATTGTATACCTAAAATGTACCAATAAAAGAATTAAAAAAAAAATTGCCATTATGTTTGTTTAACACCCTAAGAATCCTGGCACTGTGTTATTCTTCCTGTATCCTGCAGGGCATCTGAAACTTAGTTCACCCTCAATAAATAGATTTTATTTTTCTCACATATGACAAATGCTTTCCTGCTTGCTGATTGTGAATGGGTGCTCTGGTAACATGGCAATATCTTTGTTTCATTAAACAGTAGTTATACTTTGTTCCATATATTTACTAGTTTCATGCTTTTGTAAAAATATGGTGGAGGGCTGGGGATTTAGCTCAGTGGCTCCGCTGCCTGCCTTGCAAGCTCAAGGACCCGAGTTTGATCCCCGGTACCAAAAATAAATAAATAAATAAAAAATCCATTCTTTGGGCCGGGATTTAGCTCAGTGGTTCTGCCGCCTGCCTCACAAGCCCAAGAACCCGAGTTCGATCCCCAGTACAAAAAAAAAAGAAAAAAAAAATGGTGGATACCCAAAATATAAGATTAGGGCTGGTAGGCAGTTAAAGAGTCTTTAACATTGTAGAAAAAAAATTTTTAAATCTCAGGAAACCACATTCATTATAATAAAATGTGGCCCACACAATCATTCTTCTCGGTCAATTCCATTTTCTCATTTAATACTAAAGTCAGGGGTTGGAGCCAGTCCAGAGGAACAGGTACTAAGGAAGCAGAGTCGGGGCAAGCGAGGAGACCCTGTGAGCGGCCTTCCGCGCTTCTGTCGCTCAGGCCCCGAGGCCAGCCGCACCCGCCCACCCCAACCGACCCCGAGTGCAATGCGGAGACCTTCAACACTGAGGTCCCAGTTCATTTCAACGAGGCCGGAAACCCCTCAAGATTCCGAGATTCCGGCGGGGGAGGGGGCGGAACGCACGAAGTCCCCAGCCCGGGCAGGCGACGACCACCGCGAAAGCGGCAAAATGGAGCGCATGGTCTCCACGCCTGTCTCACCTCAGGTTCTTCACCTGCTCCCTTTGTGCCTTCCCTGGAACCCAACTCTTCCCAAGATTTTCAAGGTAAGCCCCTTACGTCCCTTCTCCCAC